CTATTTTTATTTTGAAATTGACCAGTAGTGGCTGCATTTCCCATCCTCGGCTTATACTCGAGTCAATAAGTTTTCCCAGTTTTTTGTGATAAAATTGCACTGACACGATAAATAGGTTAGTAAAATAAATACTATTGGTAGGTTAAATGTTTTTGAATATTTACATAAAACTGTAATTTAAGATAAGACTGTTCAGCTCTGATTAAATCATTATTCTAACCTTCTTCAGTGTAAATGTGCTTATATATCCCTCCAATAATAATAAAGAGAGAATAATAATAATAATAATAATAATAATAATAATAATAATAATAATAATGAAATCCAGCATATATACCTCATTTGCTGTGTGATACTGTGTTTTTGTGTCAGGATGATGATGGTGATGATGATGATGATGATAATAGAGTAAAATAATGGAAATGTAATAACAGTAATAGCAGAGTAAAATTATAAATGCAGTAACAATAAAAATAAAGTAAAATAATAAATGTAATAATAATAAAGAATAAATAAATAATAATACTAATAATAAATAGAGTAAAATAATCTATATAAATAAAAATGTAATTTCGTTTGTGATACCATCAGAACTCAAAAACCACTGGGGGAATTGACACCAAATTTGAACACAAGACACCTAACAACCCAATGTATGTCCTCCACTCAAAAAAATTGATTTTGTCATTTGAGAATTGTCGTTGCTGGGATTTATAGTTTACCTAAAATCAAAGAGCATTCTGAACTCCACCAATGACGGAATTGGGCCAAACTTAGCACACAGGGCTTCCATGACCAACAGAAAAAACTGGAAGGGTTTGGTGGACATTGACCTTGAGTTTGGGAATTGTAGTTCACCTACATCCAGAGAGCACTGTGGACTCAAACAATGATGGATCTGGACCAAACTTGGCACGAATATTCCATATGCCCAAATATGAACACAGATGGAGTTTAAGGGAAATAGATCTTGACATTTGGGATTTGTAGTTACTGGGATTTATAATTCACCTACAATTAAAGAGCATTCTGAAACCCACAAATGACCCAAATGGGGCAAACTTCTCACACAGAACCCCCATGACCAACAGGAAATACTTAAAGCCATCCAGTCCAACACTCTTCACCAGGGCAAGAAAATGTAATCAGAGCCCTCCTGACAAAGAGCCATGCAGCCATAGATATAGAGAGATAGACATGATTCTTTCTCTCACACACAGATATAGTATCATAGATTTGAAAGAGACCCCTAAAGAAGGACTATGATACGTTGCATATTCCAGAGTAGGCAAACCAGACAATCTCCACATCAACACTGACAAAGAAACAACAAGAAATACTGTTTACTCACAAGCATAAAGGAATGGCATATATTAGAAACCAACACTTTCTCATTACTTTATTTTCCAGATCACCAGACTGGGCCACAGCAACACATGGCAGGGGAAGGCTAGTAATGTAATAAAATAATAATACTGTAGAGTAAAATCATGTAAATATAATAATAATAATAATTAAAATAATTCATGTAATAAAATGGTACTATTGACAAAGTAAAGTAATAAATAACCTTGACTCGAGTATAAGCCGAGAGGAACTTTTTCAGCCTAAAAAGGGGGCTGAAAAACTAGGCTTTGTTGTTGTTCATTCGTTCAGTCGTCTCCGACTCTTCGTGACCTCATGGACCAGCCCACGCCAGAGCTCCCTGTCGGCCGTCACCACCCCCAGCTCCTTCAAGGTCAGTCCAGTTACTTCAAGGATGCCATCCACCCATCTTGCCCTTAGTCGGCCCCTCTTCCTTTTTCCTTCCACTTTCCCCAGCATAATTGTCTTCTCTAGGCTTTCCTGTCTCCTCATGATGTGGCCAAAGTACTTCAACTTTGTCTCTAGTATCTTTCCCTCCAATGAGCAGTCGGGCTTTATTTCCTGGAGGATGGACTGGTTGGGTCTTCTCGCAGTCCAAGGCACTCTCAGCACTTTCCTCCAACACCACAGTTCAAAAGCATCGATCTTCCTTCGCTCAGCCTTCCCTAAGGTCCAGCTCTCACATCCGTAGGTGACTACAGGGAATACCATGGCTTTGACTAGGCGGATCTTTGTTGCCAGTCTGATGTCTCTACTCTTCACTATTTTATCGAGACTGGACATTGCTCTCCTCCCAAGAAGTAAGCGTCTTCTGATTTCCTGGCTACAGCCTGCATCTGCAGTAATCTTTGCACCTAGAAATACAAAGTCTGTCACGACCTCCACGGTTTCTCCCTCTATTTTCCAGTTGTCAATCATTCTTGTTGCCATAATCTTGGTTTTTTTGACGTTTAGCTGCAACCCGGCTTTTGCGCTTTCTTCTTTCACCTTGATTAGAAGGCTCCTCAGCTCCTCCTCGCTTTCGGCCATCAGAGTGGTGTCATCTGCATAGCTGAGGTTGTTAATGTTTCTTCCAGCAATTTTCACCCCAGCTTTGCATTCATCCAGCCCCGCACATCGCATGATGTGTTCTGCATACAATTTAAAAAGGTTGGGTGAGAGGATGCAGCCTTGCCGTACGCCTTTCCCAATCTTGAACCAGTCTGTTGTTCCGTGGTCAGTTCTGACTGTTGCTACTTGGTCCTTGTACAGATTCCTCAGGAGAGAGACAAGGTGACTTGGGATCCCCATACCACCAAGAACTTGCCAAAATATATTATGATCCACACAGTCAAACACTTTAGAATAGTCAATAAAACAGAAAAAGATTTTTTCTGAAACTCCCTGCCTTCCTCAATTATCAAGAGGACATTGGCATTTGGTCTCTCATTCCTCTGCCTTTTCTAAATCCAGCTTGTACATCTGGCAACTCTCTCTCCGTGTATTACTGGAGTCTTCCTTGCAGGATCTTACTGGCATGAGAAATAAGGGCCACTGTACGGAAGTTTGAGCAATCTTTAGCATTTCCCTTTTTTGGTATGGGGATAGAAGTTTTTCCAGTCTGATGGCCATTCTTGTGTTTTCCATATTTGCTGGCAAATGGCATGCATCACCTTGACAGCATCATCTTTTAAGATTTTAAACAGTTCAGCTGGAATCCCGTCATCTTCTGCTGCCTTGTTGTTAGCAATGCTTCTTAAGGCCCATTCAACCTCACTCCTCAGGATGTCTGGTTCTAATTCATTCACCACACCGTCAAAACTATCCTCAATATTATTATCCCTCCTATACAGATCTTCTGTATAGTCTCGCCACCTTCTCTTGATCTCTTCAGCTTCTGTTAGGTCCCTGCCATCTTTGTTTCTTATCATACCAATTTTTGCCTGAAATTTACCTCCAATGTTTCTAATTTTCTGGAAGAGGTCTCTTGTCCTTCCTATTCTGTTGTCTTCTTCCACTTCCATGCATTGATTATTTAAAAATAGTTCCTTATCTCTTCTGGCTAACCTCTGGAATTGCGCATTTAACTGGGCATATCTCCCCTTATCCCTGTTTCCTTTTTCTTTCCTCCTTTCTTGGGCTACTTCCAGTGTCTCAGCAGACAACCATTTTGCCTTCTTTTGGTTTTCTTTTTCTTTGGGACGTACTTTGTTGCTGCCTCCTGAACAATGTCTCGGACTTCTGTCCATAGTTCTTCTGGGACTCTGTTTACTAAATCTAGTCCTTCAAATCTGTTCTTCACTTCCACTGTATATTCGCTAGGAATGTTAGTGAGATCATATCTAACTGGTCGGTGTATTTTCCCTGATCTCTTTAGTTTTATTCTAAATTGGGCAATAAGAAGTTCGTGATCTGAGCTACAGTCAGCCCCAGGTCTTGTTTTCACCGACTGGATGGATGTCCGCCACCTTTGGCTGCAAAGGATGTAGTCAATCTGATTTCGGTGTTGACCGTCTGGTGAGGTCCATGTGTGAAGCCGTCTTTTAGGTTGTTGGAAGAGAGTATTTGTTATACACAGCGAGTTTTCCTGGCAAAATTCTATCAGCCTGCGTCCGCTTCATTTTGTTCTCCCAGACCATGCTTGCCTGTGATCCCAGTTGTCATTTTACTTCCCACCTTGGCATTCCAGTCTCCTGTAATGAAAATAATGTCTCTTTTTGGTGTATTATCCAGTAGGTCCTGCAGATCCTCATAGAACTGATCTACTTCTGCTTCTTCAGCAGCTGTGGTTGGGGCGTATATTTGGATCACTGTAATGTTGAAAGGCTTTCCTTGCACTCGAATTGAGATCATTCTGTCATTTTTTGGGTTGTATCCAAGCACCGCTTTAGCGAATTTCTTATTAATTATGAAGGCTACTCCATTTCTTCGATGTTCCTCTTGTCCGCAGTAGTAGATCTGATGTGAAGTGACCCATTCCAGTCCACTTCAGTTCGCTGACCCCCAGAATGTCTATCTTTAGTCTTGACATCTCACCAATAACAACATCCATTTGCCCTGGCTCATAGATCTTACATTCCAGGTTCCTATGGTGTGTTGATCTTTAGAGCATCGGATTCGTCGTTCACCTCCAGTACCGTCGGCCGCTAGCCTTCCTTTCGGCTTTGAGCTAGCTGCGTCATCACATCTGGGGCTAGTTGAACTTATCCTCTGCTCCTCCCCAGTAGCATTTTGGCCATCTTCCGACCTGGGAGTCCCATCTTCCAATGGCATACCGACATATCTCTGGTTGTACTGGTCCATTTAGTTTTCTTGGCACGGATACTGGAGTGGTTTGCCATTGCCTTCCCCAGGGATCACGCTTGTCTGACCTCTCTGCCACAACCGTCCCGTCTTGGGTGTCCCTTCACGGTTTCGCTCATGACATCATTGAGGTGCTCAAGCTCCAGCGCCCCGACAAGGCGGTGATCCTTTGCTGGAGAAACTAGGCTTATACTCGAGTATATACAGTATATACACAGAAATGGGTGGCAGGGGACAGCTAGTTGTATGTATATATATCTTGTAAGCCGCTCTGAGTCCCCTTCGGAGTGAGAAGGGCAGCATATAAATGTTGTAAATAAATAAATAATAACCCTTTCTTTCTGTGTTTCTAGGTATTTGAAATCAGGAATACAGAAGACCTCACCGAGGAATGGCTCCGGGAGAAGCTGGGCTTCTTCCACTGAACCGGACCCGAAGCTTCCCGTCCTGCGCAAACTGGAACCCGACGCGACGACGCCTCCTTAATTTTTTTGAGACCTGCGCAAAGAAGGCACTGTACTTAACAATGGCTTCCTGCAGTGTGTGTATATGCATGTACATAAATATGTATATATTTTGTGCGTGCAACGTTTATACAGATGAGAGGGGAGGGAGCAGCGTCTCCCGCGTAACCAAACTTTGCCCGGTTCCCATCTCCCTATTTTCCTGATAACTCTCCAAAAGGGAACCATTTCTCATTTGCAGGGACAATTTCCCCCTCCCGTCCATCTCTTTGTACTCACATGACTAATATTTCTATATGGCTTGATCCAGGACTTGTAACTGTTTACCATTATGGAGAGGGGTTGTCTCCGTAGGCGCCCTTCCTATACATCTCTAGAGACGAAAACCGAGCCTTCAAGTATTGTGTTTGTGTATCTGTTTATCTGGGGGGCTAAAGGGAACGTCCTTGTTCAGGTTTGTCCCCTCTTTGAGATACAGATGCATTCTCTTACTCAACTGGATACTGATTATTTACATGCAAAAACAGTACTGTATTTAATGCTTGAGACACAAAGCATTGTTACGTTATGGACTACAATTCCCAGAATCCCCTAGCCATGCTGGTTGAGGGATTTGGGGAGTTTTCTTTTTCAAGGACCTCTTCCAAACGTTCTTGGCTTAATGCAAGCGTCAAAGAGTGTGATCTTCCGCAAGCGAAATTTTAGTATCGATAACTTCTCAATCGGTCCATCTTGATTGTTGTGTTTTCTTTCAAAATTCCAGTGAGGGTTTCGCTCGATCGCGAACCAATACGAATTCCCACCCTGGAGGAGTCAGGACTGTGACTTGCCTTTTATATGTCTCTTGTCTTAAAAGATAGCGCTAGAAAGTAGATTTAAAGCAGCACCAACAACCACCACCACCACCACCACCGCAACCTTTCAAGGGCTTGGTAACATTCGGGTGGACACACATCCCGTTCCAGAAGACTTTGTACTCAAATTTTCCTGTTCTCTTGACTTTTGTACGCAAGCACTTCTCAATCTTTGTGCCTTTCGAAAAGTAATCTCTTGATTGTATGGAAATTATATACTGCCAGTTTTTGTAAACAAACCAATGCTAAACCTGATGCAGGATGATTTTGTCTACAAAGGGAAAGAGCCGTATAGCGCAGGCATGGGCAAACTTGGGCCTTCCAGGTGTTTTGGACTCAACGCCCACCATTCCTGTCATTAAAAGTTATTTAAGAAGAGCAAACAAACCCTAAAGTTTGAGGACCCCTCATCTATACCATAGTCAAAAGCCAGTCCAAAGGTTCAGGGTTCCAGGGTTCCAAGATCAGAGGAGACAGGTCAGGATACCGAAAATCCAACAGAACTGGGGGGAAAACCAGCAGCGTCCACCACCAAAATATGACAATACTTTTCTCCCAAAGATCACTTCCAAGGCTCACTCCTTATATCCACAAACACCCAGTTGCAACCTATCTCTTGCATTCCTCCACCCTGAATTGTTTTCACCCATGAACTCTTACTTACAGATTACTAAACCCTTTAGAACTAGTACTTACATTAACCCATCACCAAGCACCATCAACTGCAGAACATATGACGCTGAGTTTGTGGATACAGACACAGAATGGATATACACAGTATCACTTCTCCATAGTTTTGCTCATTCAGTTACAGTCTGAGAGAGCCCTCAGTGGGAGAAAGGCCTCAGTGTTAGTAGGCCTCAGTATGAGAAAGACCTCAGTGTGAGGGAGGCCTCCTAAAGCGGCTGAGGGGGGGAAATGAAGAGGCGGAAGCTATTAGGAATTGTGGAAGTCGGAGTCCAAAACACCTGGAGGGCCCAAGTTTGCCCATGCCTGCTATAGCATCTGATCTCTTCTCCTCCTTGTTTACTTTGCTACCAGGGGCATGTATTGCTATGCATAACAGCCTAGGATTATTTGTGCATGGCAAAAGAAATCTGCTCAAATAATACCCCTTCTGTCTTTCCTGGTCCCCATTTATTTCCTCCTTAAAGGTACATGAGGGTCCACAAGATTGCAGGGAAATCTTTGTTCGATATTGCAGAATCTAGCTTCCTAACTTCCTTGTTCTTCTCTAAAGCCTTTCCTTGACTCTGGGCACACTTTTGTCTATCTGCATCTGTCTTTGTGGGCGTTGCTTTCTCTACACCACTTTTATAACTCTTTTGAGACTTTTGCAGACATGCCTTTAGGTTTTTGTAGATTCATACAAAGGCGCTCCCTCGTTGTCCGAGTAGCATTGTCTTCCAAGGTCGGTGTCCTGGTGGTGGGTCCGTAGGAGACTGTGGAGCCTATTCTTGACCTGCGTGTTCTCCCGCAGTGAGGGCATTGGTTTCCAGACTCAAGGTGGTCCCGGTCGGGGTTGGTTTGACGCACCTTCCTCTTGGCACGTTTCTCTCTTTCGCCCTCCATTTGTGCCTCTTTAAATTCTACAGCACTTCTGGTCACAGCTGACCTCCGGTTACAGTGCTCAAGGGTCAGGGCTTCCCAGTTCTCACTGTCTATGCCAGAGTTTTTAAGGTTGGCTTTGAGACCATCTTTACATCTCTTTTCCTGTCCACTGACATTCCGTTTTCCATTTTTGAGTTCGGAGTAGAGCAACTGCTTTGGGAGATGGTGGACCGGCATCGGGACAACATGGCTGGTCCAGCGGAGTTGATGGTGGAGGAGCATCGCTTCAATGCTGGTGGTCTTTGCTTCTTCCAGCATGCTGACGTTTGTCCGCTTGTCTTCCCAAGAGATTTGCAAGATTTTCTGTAAGCAGCGCTGATGGAATGGTTCTAGGAGTTACATGTGACGTCTGTAGACAGTCCACGTCTCACTGGCGAATACCAGGGTTGGGAGGACAATAGCTTTAAAAACAAGCACCTTGGTATCCCTATGGATGTCCTGGTCCTCAAACACTCTCTGCTTCATTCGGAAAAATGCTGCACTCACAGAACTCAGGCGATGTTGTATTTCGGTGTCAATGTTGACTTTTGTGGAGAGGTGGCTGCCAAGGGAGCTGAAATGGTCAACATTTTCTAATGTTACACCATTAAGCTGTAGATTCATAGAGTTGGAAGAGACCTCCTGGGCCATCCAGTCCAACCCCCTGCCAAGAAACAGGAAAATTGCATTCAAATCACCCCCGACAGATGGCCATCCAGCTTCTGCTTAAAAGCCTTCAAAGAAGGACCCTCCACCACACTCCGGGACAGAGAGTTCCACTGCTGAACAGCTCTCACAGTCAGGAAGTTCTTCCTCATGTTCAGATGGAATCTCCTTTCCTGTAGTTTGAAGCCATTTCTCCATTGTGTCCTAGTCTCCAGGAAAGCAGGAAACAAGCTTGCTCCCTCCTTCCTATGACTTCCCCTCATATGTTTATCCATGGCTCTCATCATGTCTCCTCTCAGTCTTCCCTTCTTCAGGCTAAACATGCCCAGCTCTTTAAGCCGCTCCTCATAGGGCTTGTTCTCCAGACCCTTTATCCTTTGAGTCACCCTCCTCTGCAGACATTCCAGCTTCGAGTCAACATCTCCCTTCAATTGTGGTGCCCAGAATGGGACACAGTGTGATTCCAGATGTGGTCTGACCAAGGCAGAATAGATCATGGGTAGCATGTCTTCCCTGGATCTATACTCCTATTTCCGCAGACCTGGACCAATTTGTTGCATGTGGGCCAATTTATGCACATGGACCTGCTTTATTTCATTGTAAGTTCCAGGCGAGCAAAGCACAACAAAGCCCAGATTGTCTTTGTCTCAACTTGCAGGCCTTGGCTGTCTGAAAAATAAAATAAACCCACTTGAAGTAGAAAAACATGGTTTAAATAAGTCGTACGGCTGCAGGCTATTGCTGCAAGTTATTGTTGGATCTGACACCTTCCAGAAAGTTATACGATTTACAGTCCGTACATTCGGACTTTTCTGCTGCATTATTCCCATTCGTACGAAGGCGCAATCCGCTGCACTCTTTGCGGTCTTTTCTTGTCTTTGGTCAAGCAATTAAAACATTCCCTCATTACTCCTTTTCCACCATGGGTAGCGGACTATTCTCAACGAGAGATGCTATGCCAGCCTCTATTAGGCTTTTGCTTCAGCTTCTAGAATAATATAATAATAATAATAATAATAATAATAATAATAATAACACTTTATTTATATTCTGTTCTATCTTGCCGAGGGGACTCAGAGCGGATTACAACTTACACAGATAGGCAAACATTCAGTGCCTTTAATACAGTGGAATGACAATGGCAAACAAATACACAGAACAAAGGTCAAGGCTTCCCCTTTCATCTCCAACTTCTGGAGGCATGGAGAGGTGCTCTTGTTCCATTTCCAAGCCGAGGAGCTTGTTGTCCATAGACACCTCCTAGTTATCTTGCCGACATAGCTGCATTGCCGCCTTTATTGCCATCCTGTTGAAGCAATACCTATTGATCTACTCAGATGTGCATGTTTTCAAGCTGCTAGGTTGGCAGGAGCTAGAGCTAACAGTTGGGAGCTCACCCCAACCCATGGCTTCAAACTGCCAACCTTTAGGACAACAAATTCAACAAGTTTAACCAGTTGCACCACCATGGCCCCTTCTAGAATACATTCAAATTCCCATTCACCATTTATCCTTTAGTTAGAACAGTGGTTCTCAGCCTGTGGATCCCCAGGTGTTTTGGCCTACAACTCCCAGAAATCCCAATCAGTTTACCAGCTGTTAGGATTTCTGGGAGTTGTAGGCCAAAGCATCTGGGGACCCACAGGTTGAGAACCACTGAGTTAGAAGCTCATGGCAGGATAACTATTGAGGAATCCTTGAGTTGGAAGAGACCTCGTGGGCCATCCAGTCGAACCCCATTCTGCCAAGAAGCAAGAAAATCGCATTCAAAGCACCCCCAACAGATGGCCATCCAACCTCTGCTTAAAATTCTCAAAAGAAGGAGCCTCCACCACACTGTTTAGCAGAGAGTTCCACTGCTGAACAGCTCTCACCGTCAGGAAGTTCTTCCTAATGTTCAGGTGGAATCTCCTTTCTTGTAGTTTGAAGCCATTGTTCTGCGTCTTAGTCTCCAAGGAAGCAGAAAACAAGCTTGCTCCCTCCCTGTGGCTTCCTCTCACATATTTATACATGGCTATCATATCTCCTCTCAGCCTTCTCTTCTTCAGGCTAAACATGCCCAGTTCCCTAAGCCGCTCCTCATAGGGCTTGTTCTCCAGACCCTTGATCATTTTAGTCGCCCTCCTCTGGACACATTCCAGCTTGTCAATATCTCTCTTGAATTGTGGTGCCCAGAATTGGACACAATATTCCAGATGTGGTCTAACGAAAGCAGAATAGAGGGGTAGCATGACTTCACTGGATCTAAACAGGCTGGATGGCTATCTGTCAGGAGTGATCTGAATGCAATATTCCTGCTTCTTGGCAGAATGGGGTTGGACTGGATGGCCCATGAGGTCTCTTCCAACTCTTTGATTCTATGATTGTATGATTCTAATATATTATAATAACATCACTATATAAACATGGCAGGTATCCTAAAAGCAATTGCATATAATTGCATATCTATGGAAAACGCCAACAGCAACTCAGAAATATATTTTCCTACATCTAAATAAGTGGTTTCCAAACTTTTTTTTTTTGACCAGGGACCACTTTGACCAGGGACCCCTCTCCAACATTACTGCCAAAAGGATTTGTTGTTGTTCATTCATTCAGTCGTCTCCGACTCTTCGTGACCTCATGGACCAGCCCACACCAGAGCTCCCTGTCGGCCATCACCACCCCCAGCTCCTTCAAGGTCAGTCCAGTCACTTCAAGGATGCCATCCATCCATCTTGCCCTTGGTCGGCCCCTCTTCCTTTTACCTTCCACCTTCCCCAGCATCATTCCCTTCTCTAGGCTTTGCTGTCTCCTCATGATGTGGCCAAAGGACTTCAACTTTCCCTCTAGTCTCCTTCCCTCCAATGAGCAGTCGGGATTTATTTCCTGGAGGATGGACTGGTTGGATCTTCTCGCAGTCCAAGGCACTCTCAGATCTTTCCTCCAACACCACAGCTCAAAAGCATCTCTCTTCCTTCGCTCAGCCTTCCCTAAGGTCCAGCTCTCACATCC